GAGATACCTTTTAACTTTGTTGTTTTTGTTAGTGTTTTGGTTGCTGAATGTTACTAAATATGGCAGACATCTGAGCAAAACAAAAAGGTATTTCAGTCAAAATGTCAGGAAAAGCAACAAAGAAAAGAATGCACCCCCATAAATAATCATTGGGTAGTAACAATTAAAAAAAGAACCTCATGTCCAATAATTTATGTAATCAACAAGCCTAAAATACACCATATACAAATAGTTATACAAATGAACTTTGTAAATAAAAGAATACAAAAACTGACTCTTATATCTGGGTGCCCTGGTGTGGGGTAACGGTTAGCTGGTATGATCATCTACTACTAAATAGTGAATTCAATCCACACTGAGTACTCTCCTATTTGTGGCCTTTTAACCAAACTTAATAATAATAAACAAGAATTGGCTCGTCAATCATCTTTTTTTTTCTATCAGGATAGAATTACTTTAATAGTATAAAACACTTTTTCTCAGTTCGACCATGGGGCAGTAAATAAACAGAGTAATTTCCCTTTGTCCATTTCAGGCGATAACCTTTGGTTTTTAATATTTTGAAGATTTATTCACAATTTTGTTATATATTGATGTAATGGAATAACCTGTCACCCCCATAAGGGACTACACTATAGATAGTAACTACCTATAAGTATCTGTAAGTTGACAGACTACAGAGTCTAGCTGGAATCTGTTGAGTACAACTCAGACTTACGCGAGAACTACCAACCTTCCAATAGTAGCACTCACTACTGGATTGACTTGTGATGACCTTGTGCATAACTGTTACCTTTATTCTTATTGTACTAGTTTTTATAATAAGCCATTACTTATTTTATCCTCTGTGTTTTTCAAGTATATATTCCTATTGGCACAGAATATAACATATATTTACTTATATCAAATTATTTTTTAGTTAACTTGAGATTAAAACATTTAACACAAAAGTGAGAACAATAAAACCATTTCCTTTATGATCCAATAAACTTTTCTTTCATATTATTAAACCCATAGGTTATTGTACAAACTTGATTATGGAAAGTTATCTTCAAATCAACTGATTTTTTTTTCTTTTGTTAAATATGTTGAAAGTTTTTAATCAAAAAGACAACTCAAAATCTGGAAAATTTCAAATGTCAAAGTGTAAATTTAAAAAGGTCATTTAAATTGTTATTTCTTTTACCTTTTCTTTCTACTGTAAAAGAAATGATTCAAACTGATTCTTAAATCATTTTTCTTCTGAAAAAAAATTATAAATTAAAAATGCGCTTTAGTCAGTATAATACCAAAAATGCCTCCTTTAAAGCAAACATTATAAGTTATTTTAACAAGCAAGTATCCTTTCCAGAAAATTATCTTTGAATAAAGTGAAAGACTGAACTAGTAGACAAAAATATATATATTAAGGTTTGCTTTTGAAAAAAAAAAAACGTTTTTATTTTATTTTTACAAAGCCATGTTTGAAAAGAGGTCTGTAGAAATTTTAAAGTCTTAACTCTTATATTCTAGCACTTCCTTTTGAAAAATTTTCTATAAATTGTCATCTAGACTAAAAACAAACCTCAGTTGAAAAATACATATATATAAATAACTTCTTATTTTTATATATATTAAAAAAAAATAAGTGATAAAAAATAATTGGTAACCAAGTGATTGTAGTGCTGTCAAACTTCTAAATTTTTATCACATTGTCTCAGTTGGCATTGATTTTTCTTGTATTCTGATTGAAATCCCTTTTCCAATTCCTTAATTATTCCAGTGATTGAATTTAAGATTCATAGTTTCATTGAAAAGAGAATTTTCATTGGACATGAAAAAGCAGTTGATTGAAATATTTTCTTATTGTTTTCTATATTTACATTTTCATGTTGGTTGACTGACAGCTGTTTTTAAAAAATAATAACTCTGCAAGAAGAAATAATGTTGCTATATTTTTTATTTAATCTATTTGCTGATACATGGATGTTGTCTGCAGTTAAATATGAAAAGTGAACAAAAGAACAGTAAAGTCTTTGGAAGAAAATTAACTTTAAAAATCTTCTCAAAACCTGAAAACATAGAGAAGAATGCAAAAAACACAGGTAAGTTTTATATGTAGTTTTGTCAATTCTTTGTTTTTCAACTTGTGGGTTGTTTGCTTTTGATACCTGAATTCTACACCGTGGTCATAAATCTAATTTACTCTCTGACACCAGTGAAAACTCAGGTACCACCAGCCATTTTGATTTTTTTGTCCATCATCTTAAGAGAAAATGTTATAATAAAAACTGGATTAAACTGCCAAGTTTTTTGAAGCTGAAGAGAAAGAAATGAAAATAAAAGTATTTTATTAATTCTTATTAATTCAGAAACCAAAGATCTGTTGTTAACATGATTAGAATTGCAAGTGAAGCACAAAATAATTTGTAAATTTTTGTGTGAAACTAATTTTTGCAATTGCAAAACAATTAAATTTAGCTATAATCCTTGATGACACATAAAATTTTCTTTTATATAACAATAAGAGAAAAATTACAAAATTAATTTGAGATTGATAAGTATTGAAATTTATTATTTCTGATTGAATGGAAATATATAAACAGTTTATGCAAAACTAGGTAATCCGTATGGGTAGACCCAAGGAGGATGATATCCAGTGAGCTCAATGTAAATTCAGAGCAAATATGTTTGAATAAAAAACATGGAACCTTAAAGTGGTCTGTTTTTTCTTCAAATATATATATATATATATATATATATATATATATATATATATATATATATTGTAAGTTCTACAATCATGATCCATTTGTCACTAACAAATTTTCTGCAATTGCCAATAATGGCATGTATATGTTCCGGTTTATCATGACATGAAAAAATAACTCACCCTCCATGACCCTCTGAGCTTACTTTTCTATTTAGCATAGATCTGACATTTAATTGGTTAAGACATATCCACAAGTCTATTTTTAATTTTGACCTTATGTCCCCCACTGCTTTAACTTTTGGAAAAGATGTAACATTTTGTTTTTAAATTTCCTTAAAAATCATTTCATCACCAGTTACTTATCATTGCCTGAAGAAATACAATCAAAGTATTGAAACATGAAAGTTTTTGTGTAGTGATTTCAAAATGTTTTTATTTTAATATCTTGTAATAAAATATAATTATATATATATATATATATATATATATATTGCCTGTTACTTTACCTAGAAGGAATTGTTTTAATAGAATCTATTTGTTTATTATCTTTCTATCTAATATATAATATCATGGGTATTTCTATATTGTTTAACTTTAACAAAAATCCTGCTGTGATTCAGACATCTGACCTAGAGTTATTCAAATGACTTATCCACTAGGCTACTCCTATTCAAGCAGCAGAGTAAAATTAACTTATAAATTAGATAGTGTGCACAGATACTACATTGATCCTAGTTTAAGAAACACTTTAACCAAACCAGAGTGCACAAATACTACACTGATCTAAAGCAGAATGGCTGAGCTGTACCTAAGTAATGCCATCATTTTTTATACATACTGTGCATATTTACCTATTTAAAAATACCCATGTGAAAACCTAGTAATACTAAAATCTAATAATTACTAAAATATGCCATCATTTTTTTGACAGCATGAGTAAACTGGTAATCTAATACTGACTCTTAATCTCAATTTCAGATCAGAAAATTAATTTTGATACTTTCACCTACCCCCAAAAAACAAGTAAATAATATTATCTGCTCTATAATTTTAATAGACACTGTGTGAGTGTGTATACGCACAAACAGGGTGTCCTAAAAATATATGCGCACTGTTGAATTAATTTGCAAGTAACAATTTAATTAAGAGAAAAAGTGTACATATGAGTTGAAGTCAAATACATATTGGAATCTGACAGAATGATAATATAAATAAAAAAATAGCAAATGTTTATCAATCTAAAATGTTTCACTTTTATTAAAGCTTTATCTCAGAGAATGAGATATGGAGAAAAAGAAAGAAATTCTGGTATTGTGCATACATACATACACACACACACACACACACACACACACACATATATATAGGGATCCCTCGATTAGTGTGGTAAAACATTCTTCAGATTAACCATAGTAATTGAAAATTTATTTTTTATAGTTACTGATGTATACATTAGCCACACCAATTGAGGGATTTCCAAATATATGCACACACATATACAGAGTAGATAAGTTGGTCAATAAAACAAAGTCAAACAAAAGGGTACCAATGTAATCAGTATGAAAAATATTTATTAATATTAAAAACATGACAAAAATGAAGCACGGAGATTGAGGTTCCAAGTTTGGAATTTTCAAACATGCCTGTGTTCTTCATCAGTAGATGCAATAAATAAACAGAGGGACAGTGGAAACTATCCAACATTAGTTTTTGAGGCTGGGTAGAGTCCTGCTTGTAAGTGGAATTGTTAGAAAAAATCCGTTCCCTGTTTGATTTCTTGCTGTGCAAACTTTTTGTGAAAATAACCATAGATTTAAAAATTGTGATTGGTGGTGGGTGGAAGTGGAGTGAGATATATGTCTATCTATCTATCTATCTATCTATCTATCTATCTATCTATCTATCTATCTATCTATCTTATATATGTTATATATGTTGTATAACACTTTACATATGTCAAACAAGATCTAATCTTAGGCAGAAGTGCCAATCTGTATGTAAATAATCCCGTCTTTTTCTTCTTTAATGAGTATTATGCTAGTAAATGTTATATAAACACCAACTAATGCATCTTTGTGAAAAATCTCTTTGAAAAATTTATGCACAAAACATTCATACACAGATTATCAGCTTTTAAATTTTGAGCATTTTAAATATCAGATGTGTGCATATACAGTAGAAAACCTTTTGTTTTATTTTTAATTAAAAATACTTGAAACTCTTACACATGCTGATAAATGTTAAATTTTATAATGAAAAAATGTTAACTTCTAAGTCATAACCATAGCTACTAGTAACAAACAAGTTTATGGCCACATCACGTTGAAGTATTGATTCCCGTATGATCACCAAAGTTAAGCAATGTTGAGCTTGGTCAGTACCTCGATGAGTGACCAGTTGGGAATACCAGGTACTGTAAATTTGGATGTGAGGGTGGTGAATGGGATAATGGCTCGGAATTGTTAATCACAGAGCTGAGCTGCAATTCGTGTTGGATTTGTTATATTCACTTACTTGCAAATGCCTTTGGGGAAAGGTATGAATCCACCTCTTCTCTCCCCAGCTATGGGTTAATTAATAAAACTTGTATCACTAAACCATTATTAGAAAAAAAAATTTTTACAATCTAAAAAGATTTTCTGGCTTTAAAAGACCTGCAAAGGGTTGATAAAGCCATAGAAAATAAATCAATCAATATATTAACAAATTGTACTTTAGATATATATTCTATATATATATGTGTGTGTGTGTGTGTGTTTGTAATAATAAAACTTTTGTAACAGCATTTTCTTTGTGGAACATGGAAATTATCAAGGTCAGTTAATATTGTAGGAATTAAATATATAAATGATAAATATACTTTAACTCTGTCTACTTTCATATCATATACATACTGCTGAAACAACAAAAATAACTAAAGCCTTCATCAGATGATGATCCCTGGATCAAAACTTAAAGGTACCTACCGCTAATTCTGGGTCACAGGCAATATCTCTTCATATCAATAAAATATTACAATGGGGAAAATATAAATCCATATTTTAGGAGGACAAAATACAAATTTTCCAACTCACACACAGACATATGTGTACATTAATATGAAAGTTGGTATTAGAGGTTGAAAGGAAAAAAGTGATGGTTGGTGAAAATCTATTTGCTGTAGTAATAAGATAAAGTTAGTTAAAAGATTAATAAAAAATTAACCTGTCAGTTTTATGAAAAATTTATATAAAAATATATCTACATGATAGACAGATTCTAAATTATCAAAATGTTACTGCTTTAATAGTCAACTTTAAGCTATTGCTGTAAAAAGAAAAATGTTACACAAGAGTGTTGAAGATTTCTTGTTTCAAATCACTCCCCCAAACCTAAATAAATGACCAAATATCAACAATATTTTTTGTTGATCCTACAGTTAGTTAGGCATGCAGGTACAATAAATACTGTAAAAAAATATACATTTTTTTTTATCTAAATCCACAGGTATTATATTCACATTGATACTGCTAAAAAAGCTTATTTTATTTTTTAATATTATTCACACAATTTGTATAACATTGCATAAAATAAACAGAATTCTTACAACAGTGTATACATATGTATAGATTTCAGACTTTACATTTACAGGATTGTAAAACTAACAATTAAGAAATCTGATACGAAAAGGAAAACAATTCACATAACTTTATTCATAGCGCTCATGATCATAAAAATAGATAACACAAAAAAAGTTGTTTCCCCTTATATTTTTTAACAAACATGGCTTATCTAATAGTCTAATAGTGTTGAACCTGGAACAAAAGAAAAAGTGATATTTGTTGTGTCTAGGATTAATAAAAAATATTTTACAAGATTATTTTTTTAAATATATATCTTAATCTTATAAATGTCTAAAGCTTTACTTGTTTTTGGTTATTTTATTTTTGGAAAATTTTATTTTATTTTTGGAAAATTTTATTTTATTTTTGGAAAATAACTGTAACAAAACTCTCCTACTATTCAATATTTTTTCAAAAGATAATAATTACAAATAAAGTGAAAACAGATTTTTATCCTTTGGTTAATTTTCTGTATTCTTCTCTTTCCTCGGCATGGGTATATGCATGTCTATTTGTATATTTTATTCTCTGCATAAGTTCATGAATGTCATCTGTCCACTGTGTTGAAGGTGCCTGTGCCATCAGAGAAGTTGGTTTCAGAGATGGTCACTAAATTGTTTTAGCCATCAATGAACATCTCACAAAACCTGCTCCACAGAGGCATAAACCAACTCAAGAGTTGGCTGCTTTTGTCTTCATCAGGTTCCTCTGAGAAATTTGTTTTCTCACAAAAAAACACATTTGATTTCAACTGCAACTTTTACACAAGAAAGTCTTCAAAGTATATTTCTGGCAATTCAACATACCTTTAATAAAAGAACAAACATTTGATAAATGAATAAAAGAAGAAAAACAAGGTGAAATTGATAAAAACAAAATAGATGTGGGTATTTTATGAGATGAGAACTTATATGTTTTATCATTTCAATCCACCTGCTCATCTTGGTTTATATACTTGTGTTTCAGCTACTGTATCTTCCAGTCTTCCTCAGGTGTCTGTTTTCATACTTCATAACCTTCTCAAAATTTTGAGCTGAACCCATTATTCACTTCACAGGGGTTGATTGTTCTTATTCAGATTTCCAGGTTTAGGGAAGATAATTCTTTAACAGTTAATCTTATTCACATTTATGACACTTGTCCTTTTCTTCTACTGAGCCATAGCATGCTATTTTTCAGCACTACCAGATCCAAGGATTGAAATCACAACTGCCAAGAAACCAGATATACTGTGAGTTCAATTCTGGTCTGATAACTTAAATTTTCAGGACAAAAATGAAACAATTTCCCTCCAAACAGTTTTATAACAGATTCTATCTTGACCAATTAAACAAAAATAAATATATTAATATGTTATCAAAGAATAGTTTTCAAAAGAGTCAATTTTTTTCAGCAAGCTTCTATCAAAATCATTAAAGATGTATTATTAAATATGAACAGAAATTGTTTAAATATTTGTTAATATAAACATTTAAAATGTAGTTATTAAATATTTTTATTAATTACTGTGTATGAATTACATGGGATTGAGTTAACCATTATAAAAGATATTTCAAATAAGACAATTTCAGCCTCCATTATGGTTGTGTTGGTGAAAAGAATATAAAGATTAGTCTTGGTTTATTTATTTGTGGCCTTTAATTCCACTACCAACATTTTTACAATTTTTTCTTTTTTTTTTTTATAAGTATGATTATAGCTGAAACACTAGAAATTTATACATTTTCATGGCATATAATACTACTCCTATCCACTCACACCATTTACATTTAATATTAGAGCATTAGACTAGATATAAATACTGGTTGTCTACATTATCTGGGTAAATATTAGCCTATTCAATACCCCAAATTCACATATAAAATCCATGAATTTTTTTTTTTTTTTTGCCAGACATCTTATATAACATTAAATGCAGTAAGCTTGGCATAAGGTTATGAGGCATACTTCAAATATAAATATTGGAGTATTTAGTAATGCCTGCCTAAAATACCAGACTTTTAATCATACTGGTATTCTGTACTCTGAATACTACAGGTATAACAGTTACATTACATCAAAAATTCACCTAAATGAATGTTAAATAAAAGGAATCATGAAGATAAGATTGCTAAACTTATTGTGGAATAAAAAAGAATTTTTATCTCTTTTCAGATCCTCTTTCTTAATAAAAAATGTGAATAGAGATTATCCTCAGTTTCTTTTTCAATTTCTATCAAAATAAGTTAATTAAAAATGCAACAGAAAATCAGTATTTAATTTCTACAATATTCATACAAAAGTGTCAATACCTATATTTGCTTATTTACTAAGTAACAAGATTACCATTTCAGCAATCAGTTTTTATTAAATTCATTTTTATTTTATATTATTTCATATTTGCTTTCTGCACAGTAAAAATATTTAATCAGAATTAGTATAAAATGTGCAATATGGTATCCATACTTTATCATTATAATAGTCTTGTTTTTGCTTTATTTTTTAATTATAAAAAATTAGTCATTATAAACAAAAAAAGATAATATTAATAAAAGTTCGCACAAATATGAAATTTTAAAAGTAAAAAGCATTAAAAGAATATACTTACCATTTGCCAGAGAAATTGATCTTTCTAATTTAGTAATAAACTTGAAGTAGATATTACATAATTATTATTCAACAAAAAAAAATTTAACTGTTATCTTTAGCAACTTTTGTGTTGTCTTTACATTGGAAAAATCACTGTCCTGTGCCTGAATTACATTTTTAAGACAAAAGATTATACATAGAACTCTCCCTACCCCTGTGCCTTAGATGCAAAGAAAAAAATGAATTTGAAAATCTTTGTTCATTTTAATATAATCTCTTCTTGGATTAGCAGATTTACTTTTGTAATAGGTAAGCTTCGGATAAAAATACTAGAAAGAGACTTCAAGGAATTTCTCTACATTGCAAAAAGAATAAAGTATTGTAGTGAACAAAACAAGATCTAGATTTAAAATTCAAATGCTAAGCACTGACTCATTGATTTTGTTAGAAATTAAAAAAGACTCAAATTTACAAACTTTGCTTAACAGACACGCAAAAGCGAATCCAAAACAAAACTCGTAAAATTTCACAAGTTTTGTTTTGGATTTGAGTCTTTTAATTTTGAGTCTTTAATTCTAACAAAATTAATGAGTCAGTGTAACATTAATTAAATCTAGATCTTGCTTTGTTCACTACAGTATAAAGCTTTTACATTAATCTGGTAAACCATAAACTTTCTCTGTGTATTTGTTTTCAGTTATAAATTACTGAATTGCAGAATACTGGCTGCATTGTATTTTGGTTTAAGCTCTTCAGTAACCATTTTTTGTACATGAGGTTTTAACTTTTGACAAATTTTTAAATTCCCCCCCACTAAAAAAAAATCAGAATTTCTTAAAAAAATATTCACTGCTGGCAATACAACAAATAAAGAAATCATTAAAATTAAAATATTCCCTTTGTTGCTTGTGTTCAATATTAAGAAATTACTAGAACAACACAGAAAAAAACATACCTTAATCAACTTTAATTTTTAAATGACTGCAGAAACATTAAACAGAACATTTAAGAATGTCTGTATTTCAGTATCTGTTCATTGTTTGAATTTCTTACTCATATTTTATTGTTCCTGTTAAAAGCCAGACCTGCACATCCTATCATTTCCATGTCCTTCACTCATCTGTGTTACTCCACTTAAAAAATTTAACTTTTCATTCAGATATCTCCCTAACCAACTCATTGTCATTCTTACCTACCCATTGCTGCTACATATGGTCAATGACAAAAATTTGAACATATGTGTACATG